AGGTTCTGGTACAGAAATGGCAACAACAGGATCTTATTCTTATAAAGGAATTTTTTATTAAGGTTTTGGTGTTAGCTTTGTAAAAGCACCTTTGTGTTATACAATACTGATTGTCCTTCAGTTAGCTCTATTAACTGAGTAGGTCTGAATTTATGTAATGCTTTAGTGATAGATGCTCTACAAAAGCTTCTTATGTTATTTTTTCCTTATACCTTTTCTTCTGATGATTATGTTGGGATTTGTTCTCTTTTGCCCTAGTGAATTGGTTTCTTAAAGCTCCTTCAGTTTCACAGAGTTTATTTTGGTCAGATTCAGCCATCCCTTTACACTGAGTTCTCTGCGAGTTGCTTCTGTTGTGCCCTGGAGGGCAATGTGCAGAGTGATATAAGGAAGGAATCCGGCTCGTCGTTTTGCAGGACTCTGCTATTCCTCTGCTATTACTCAATGTTTACACAGTCATAATGATTACCTTTAACACTGGTAGGCTTTAATTTTTGTGGATGGAGAAGAGATGTTTTGTTCTGCATCAGGCCTGCAGCCAGGGCTTTCTGGTGCTACTGTTACTCTTTTTTTAACCAATAAAAACTTCTTCCCAAATAGTTAATGGGACTTGGTTCACGATTTATTGTCAGTCTTGTAGATTCAGCAGTCCTTTCCCAGTTGTGTTTTACTTTGTCGTCTTCTGATGCTCAACTCTCATATTCAGAAGCCTCTGTGGTTTGCAGCCCGTTTAGCCTTAAATGCTGTTTGAACCTTGTTCATATTACTTGTAGTAGCACTCTTGTTTTTCCTGTATGTGTGGTGTTCCTCAAGCATCAGTCTGTCCAGTTAGTGTTACCAGCTTGTAAATATTTTACGGCGTTATTTTATTAAGAAGCTGAAACACTTTTCAGGCAAGCACCCGAGTCTGCACGTTTCGTCTGCATGCTCTTCCTCCTTGTAAAGCTGCAGTGGCACTCTGCATTGGTACAGCCTATGCATGCCAGGTTGCAGGAGCAGGTCATGTCTCCGGAGGTGAAAGTGAGCGCTTGCACAAGAGGTGCAAATCTAATGCTTAGACTTTGCTGACTGTTGCGCTTATATGAGGGTCACAAATACAGTTAAATGTTTATTGTATACATTTTATAGGTTTCTGCTAACTTTTTGAATGCTATCAAGGCTCGTAGAGCATGAAAATACTCCTTGGACTTCCTGCCATGTGTTCCTACATCACTCCTTTGCATCCATCCTATTGCCAAAAAAGAAATCAGCTGTGATTTCCCTGACAGTTTGTTTGAGCTTCTGGAGCTCTGTTGCCTAAATTGTTATTGTCTCCATCTTTTCTTATGTTACAGTCTATTCTAGCAGCCTGTATGTGGGCAGTGTAGAGAGATTTGCTGGGATCTGATTTCTCAAACGAGAGCAATCGGCGCTGCAGAGGGAGAATTCTGAGGAAAATATCCTGTTTCTTGTAGACAGAGTAAAATGCAATGGGAAAAGTCAAAGAAGGAAGCCTGCTAGGGCATGGGGTCCCAGGACACCGATAGGAGACATTCGGGCAGTGTAAGAGAATCTTGGAATTCACCTTAATAGAAGCCTCACCTTGTGTTAACAAGCGAGAGGGACTTTCTGTACAGAACCTCTTTTAAACTCTGCTCCATAGTGCTGACTAAAAAGTGCACCAGATTGCAGCTCAATTAATTATCTGAATTATTTATCAGTTGTAGATTGCTTGCACATAAAAGGGGTGAGTCCAGGAAATGTCTCCCACTAGAGCAGTAGGCTGGGAAGATTATGAGAAAGATTTTAGGCTTCCCACTAAATTATAGGAATTTGTATTTTTCCGCTCCCATCTCAGAGATTGTGTTTTTAAATTTTTCACAACACAACAAGCATTTCTTGTAACAAATCCAGTTCACAACAATTTCAACATAAAGAATGAGTTTTTAAATGGTCAGTGAGCCCCATTTTGGCAACGTCCTTTCAAAGTTGAACATGGTGTATGATGCTGTATTTAGCGCACAAATGCGTGTTTTTCTATTTTTCATTTCTTTGTGGCTTTTAAAAATATTCATTGTGCAGAAATATCTCTGCAAAGTTGGGAGAGGTGTGTGTATGTAAAACATACTGAGGTTCTGTTCAGAAGCAGGGTTTTTTTTATTGCTCGAAAGAGGCAAACTGATGTCCTCTTATAATGAGCACTCATTGTAGCAGACCTTTCTCGGGTCCCAATAATGGCAGCCAAAGGAGAAACTATTGCAAATATAGGGATTTTTTTTGTATGTAAGCTAGGACCCAGATGTTGTCCTCATGCTCTTTGTTTTATGTGTGGGTTTCGCAGAAAGGTTCAGTGTTGCTGCAGTAAACAGGTGTGGAGACCTGATGGAAGTTAGCTGGAGGACGAAGGCCTAGCTTATACCTATTAAGAGATTTTGATTCTAGTATGCATCAAGCTCTGTGTGCTTTGTTTGAACATGTAGCAATAATTTGATACTAGATCTAGCCCCTGTATGCTTGCTTTAAAACATCTCAAGATCAAAGTCAAAGTGATAATGTCAAGGAGTGGTGGTGTTCAAACCTGTAAGTCTGGGTCAAACTCTCTGCAGATCTTTGGAAAGACTCCTGGAAACGGGTTATCCTTGCCTACATTGTTTTATCTGCTTAGAAAATCTAAGGTGAAGTCCTGCTTCCAATACACTGAATGAGAATTTTATTTGCTTTCAGTGGGATTAAAATTTCTGCATGTCTGTGACAATTTCATCTTGCACTTCTGGTCTAGGCAAAGCTGAAACTAAAGGTTGCATACTGAGGTTTATTTTGTTTTCAATTTCTGGGCATGGATGTTCAGAGTATTGACTGAATAGCGCTCTTTAAAGGTCCGTATACAGAAAGAAACAAGAGCTTTTATCTAAATGAGGGCGTAAGGTTAGACTCACGTTTGTCTAAGTAGCAACTGAGGCAGGTTGAAATTAATATCTGGGATATTTTCAGGTTTTTTCAGAATACCATAGGCAGGCTTTATATCAAAGGCAGCTTTGACTTCCGTTTAAATGTTAGTGCTGGGACAGGCATCTTGGGAGGCAATCCTACCTAAAAACTATGTTTTGTGTGTGACTCTCTCAATTTAAAAATGCTGCTCCTGACTTTTGGCACTGAAAGAGTGTATTATTCAATCAGTGTGAGATTTTACAGTTATTTTATATTATTATTTGTGATATACTTTGTGGTATATACAAGAATAATAACAAAGCTTGTGGTAATGTACTAGAGTGCGACTAAAGTCGGAGTTTATAAATGGAAATGCTGACACAGCCTTAAAGGGGCAACCTCAAGTGCTGTTCACCATCCATCGTTTGCATTAGCTTAGCCTGAAAATGCATTTTTTCCTTTTGCAGATTTTGTCCTTTCCCATTTGCCAAACATTGATTTCTCCCCCCTCAAGTCCTTCAGTTCTAATGGAGCTTGAAATTAAGGTGGCTTTATTTTTCTGTCGCTTCCTTGTTCACCCTAATCGATGATGCCAGCACAGCTGTGGGGACCTTTTAACTGTTGCAGAGCCAGCACAGTGCACCCAGATAGGTAACCTTCTACTTTGATTTTTAAGGTTGGTGGTTGGCTTTTTTCTTTGCATTGCTGCAGTCCTAATGAAAAATTATTTGCAGTTGTAGTTGTGGAATTTTACAAAAGCTGTAGAAGTCTTGTGCTCTAAAAATATCTCTCACTATGAAGGTTCTCAGATGTGATTTTTTTTTCCTTCCTATTGGGCTCGCATGCTACACTCTACCCCTGCTGTCTTCTTTGCTTAGGTTCTTGTTGGCTTTGTTCAGGATTTAATCCCTAACGTATACATTTATGCACGTAAATCAAGAAGAATATAGATATCCTGGCACTTAAATGTGGCCAGAGGCAGCTTTAACACAACTAAATAAAAAGTGGAGATGTGGAATGAACCTATTTTTTGGCCTGCAGCAAATGGAGTACTGCCTTAAGGGGTGTGGACTTTAAAGATATAAATTGCCTAAAAAGAAGGGGAGAAATATGAGCCCACTGAAGATGAGATGAGCAAGCTTTTGTAATATGTAACAAGTTTGCATAAACCTCTAAAAGGTATCTGCATCCTGCCTGTGGCCTTCTGCAGAACGGTGGGACCTGCAAGGCCTTTACAGCGTGCGGCCTTGGCGAGGCAGTGGGTGTTAGCTAGCCCGTCTGCCCCCTTCCTGATGGCCGCTCTCGCAGGCCCCCTCCAAGTGAACAGACTGGCCCTGATCCGCTGAAGGCCTGTGCAGATCAAGGATCGCACTGGGAAATACTAATGCTTGCATAGGCTGCAGGGTGAGTGAGGAGTGGGGTTTAAGAGTGCAGGGTTTTCTATTTCAAAGCTGATGTGCTGGAAGAAAAAAAAAAAAGAGTAATTTAAAAGTGGACTACTCTGGCCTTATTACCTTGGAAAAAGACCGTGCCATGTTTAATATAGACTATTTTATATCATTTCATCAGTAGTTTGCATTACACTCATCCAGTAAATGCATGGTACCAAGTTATTTTTAATTTTCTTGTTTGCATGGTCATAAGCTCATTTGAGTAATTGTCTAGTGATCTTCCAGTTCATCGTGGTTCTGGATTGTGGGTCCCACCTGTCGGGGTTAGAAACGGGGAGGAGAGGGACATGGTCTGCCTCCCCTTCTCTTTCTCAAGAGAGAACATGGAAGGGATGTCTTAAAACCTTATGCTAGTGCAAGGTCATGAGATGGAAAAATGGAGAAGTGTTGTTCAAGTGGATATGGTTATTGATCTATCTGAATTCTGCACTGTCCCGGCACATTTTATATTGCCTCTCTGCTTGATCCAGGTCTGTTCTTTGCATCTCAAATAGATGTGACTGTAGGCTGCTTAAACAACTTGGAAATATCTGTACAGCATAAATGTCTTAAAACTAAAACAAGATTTTGAGTCATAACACTTAGTTTCCCCGCCCCTTTTTCTTTTTTCCTTATGCTGAATCTGCTGCACGGCTTTGCTCTTCCCTATGGAAATTGCTTCCGTGTCGTGCTTCCATGGAGGGGCAAAGATCCTTTTTGGTACAAAAGGCAGTTTGGGGATCGCATCTCCCACCTTTTGGATGCAGCCTCTGCTATAGCAAGGTGAGGACCTCTCTACTCCTCACTAGCACTGCAGGACCATTTAAAATGCCGCATGTAGCTGGGACTCTAGAGCGAACCTAGGCCAGTGAAATGTGATTATTGGAGTTAGAATTTTGCCGAGACACCACATGGCAGAGCGTTACAATTGCGAAAAGTACTGTGAGATCGTTAATGATTTTCAGGATCCCTGTGGCATGTTACCAGGAGGGCAACACAGTACCTCTTAATGTCATGCAATCTCAATAATTTAGTGTTCACCGAGGTCTTGTATTGACTACGGACTTAGACAGCGTGTGCTCGGCATGTGCAAATGAACTCTTGGAATTAGTGTTTACGTGGTGCTGCAGAAATTCAGTAGAGCTGTTTCATCTCTGTGATTATGCAACTTAAACACTGGCAAGAAGAAACAATGCTGAGATGCAAATTCTTGCAACCTGTCAATTTGCTGCCTCCGTGTATCATGTGATAGAGCAATTACTTGGGCTAAAGAGATGGCTTTATATATTTGAGGCTCAAATGTAGCTTTTGCAGAGCACCACTCCATTTTGCTTTGTAAAATATTGATATTCCCATCAATTTTGAAACCATTACTGCGAAAGCTTTACGGGAGAGGATTTGGGGATTTCCAGTACCTTGATTATAGCTCTAAAATTACAGATCTGCAGGGCTGTGCTGGAATTGGGCAGTGGAACCGATTATAAACAAAAGTGAACCCGGTTCATCTCTATTGCATTTAGGAAAAAGAATGGGGGAAAAATTAACGCATGAGTAAATTAGGTTTCTAATATATTAGCAGCATGTTGGATAGTAACAACACAAAGATCAGTTTGATCTGTTGTTTCTTTGTGTTACGGTTGTTTGTTTTTCTTTATTTCTGAGGCAGTCCTGTTCTTTCCTGAGTGCTCCCTGCTAGGGCGTTCCTGTACCTCTGTGGAAAATGGAAACAGCAACTTTGGACTTGTTCATAGCCGTGCGTAGCTTTTGACACTGGGACTTCTCAGAGGTGGCAGAGGCTTTCAGCCCCGGTATCGTACTTAGGACAGCTGAAACGTGCTAGTGGATTAATGGATTTAAGCTATAGTTTCAGAGGTTTCGAATTGAAAACTGAACGTTTACTTATTTAAGTCAGGTACAGCTCTTCAGTCCTTCTGAAAAGGAAACCTGAAGAAAACTACCCAACTGCTATGGAAAAGAAAAGAATTCTGATCGCCTGCAGCCTGCTCTGAAGTGGGACAGAATGGCTTGGAGCTGACCTGCGAGAGAAGTGGTGGGTTTGGTCACCTTTCTCCTCAACTGTGTTGCTTTTTAGTTAAGACAATGCTGAGGAAACAAAGGTACTAAGCTTATTTCTCAACTAATGCCTCGTGATGCTACAAGCTGTACAAAACAAATGGGTCACTCAGACCCATTGGAAAGCTTGTAATGTAGCAGGCCAGACCACCTCGCTGAACTCCTGTGGTCATAAATAGTTTTAAAACTCTGGACACTTTCTTTCTAGTTAGGCTGTTTGTCAGATCTGTTAGGAAAAAAATAGTGGTTGCTGCAGCTTCCCTCTGCTTTAGCCTCTCTAATTTACTCAGCCTCTCAGAGGTGTTACTCCACTGAAGGATTCCACTGTGCTTCATTACTAAATCATTTGTGTACTTTAGCAGTCTGGGAAAGGCCACAGGTATGTTGTTGTGCGTGCCCTCTTTTCCACTGTGTAGTAATTAATCAGTTTGAACACACATCCAAAATCTTAATCCTAGGCGTTATCAACCCTTGATTTAAAATAGTCTTTAACACAAAAGAGTCTAAACTGTTTACCAGTGCCTGGATTTTAAACTGGTGATGTATTTGAACTTCCTCCCTGCAAAACGGCAGCCTGAAAATATGGCAACTTGCAGCTGAAATGTTTGGGTGATGTGTATGGATGTCTTTTAACTTTTCTTTTTGAAGTCAAAATGAATTCTTGTTCTTGCCAAGATACACTTCTGAAGGAAAGTTGCAGCCTTTTGAGGTGGAACTAAGGACACGTGCATTTGGTTCTCTCCTTTAGATTTTTGGCACCAGTTCTGTTCTCGCTGCCTCCTCTCTGTTTTTTCCTGTCCTTTATTTCTTATCTTTCTTACATTCTCAGTTTTTTTCTTTCTCTAGCTATTCCCTTTTTTTTCTTTGGATTCATTTTCTTTCCTGCTGTCCATTCTTCACATTTTTTTGATAATACTTTGGTTACGAGAGGTTTATTTGCTCATATTGAGCTAGATCATTAAAATCCTGCCTAAACAAAAAGTAGGTGTTGTGCAATGGCTCTTGTGTTGGTTTTCCATGCACAAGGAAATGACCTAGAGAAATGGAGGGAAACAAGTTGGAAATTATCTATACCATTTCATTCTTTGTGTCTCAGGAAGCATGCATGTTGTGCTTGAACCAAAAAGGATCCGCTTATGCAGCGTTTTGAGCTACAGCTAACACTTCTTTTTTAACTTAATTGGAGCAACGTGTTTAACTGTTGCTCAGTAAAAAAGGCCCAGGAAGCTTGGAGAGACTTAGGGTTTTAAAATAACTTTATGGAGAATAAATTAGCGTGTTGTCAACTCTTGTGACTTCAGTGCAAGTCTGTAGTGTCCTTTTAAAGCAGTGACTTCTGGAAGCGAGTCATTATGTGAGATCCTCAGTGTTCATTGTGGGGTGGAGGTGGGAAGGGGAGAGAGGATTTCTAACCCGGGTTGTTTTGAGGGAGCAAGGGGAAAGCTTGACAGCGCGAGCCGAGTGCCATTTAAAGGCTTGTGAATGAGGAGAGACTGAAGTGTGGTAAACAAATGTGTTTAGTTTCACAGATTTTTTTAGTAGCTTTATTGAAGATTTGTGAATGGTTCAATTGGCTATGCTAGACTTGAATCGGAGCAGAGATGTGGGATTAGCTGAATCTGCGCTTGCAGGTCAGGCTTTGAACTAGGGAGGCACCTATTCGGTTGCCTGTGTGTGCTTATGTCCAGCACCAGATGATTCACAGGAGAAACACTGACAAAAGATGTTTGTGGGAATACCTGCTTGCTTTATTAGGCTTCATCCTGTTCTCTGGTGGTTAGAGATTGGTTAAAGCCCTGAAGTATGAGGTGTAATATTCACTCCACAATTCAACTGTTAAACACAGCTCTAGATATTGTCAATATCCATATATGCATTGAGTCAGTTTTTTAATCCCATTACATTTTTGGCCTTGCCATCTTCCTGTGGTAGTAGGTTCCACAATTCAATTACAGATTGTGTTTAAAATTTATTTCCTTTTATTGGTTTGGAGCTTGGCATCGTGTGAATTTAAACAGACATCCTCTCCTTTTTGTTCAGAGCTATATGAACTCAGTGTCTGGATTTGCCCTTTCCAGATCATTTATTTCAGACTTTTAATGCATCTGCTCTTGTTTGGTTCCTTTCTAATGCTATCCATCCCCAGACTGTTCCAATCCCATGTCGTATAAGTGGGTATACATACTTCTGCTAATTCTGCAAATCTGTATATGTTCTGCGGCTTTTTTTCCTAAGATTGGCTGTCCAGCTTACAGGCTATTCTTGATAAGGCTACATCACTGTTTGGTTTCTTTGATAATAAGTTCAGTGTAGCCAAACTTGGTATGAAAGGTAGAAGCAGCGAGCTGTGAAGGATTTGATTCTAATCTTAGATAAGTGGGAGTGTACAGGTGGGAATATCATACAGTATCATGACAAATCTTCATCTCTAAATGCATTTGCAACCCAGTAGGATTCTTCAGGCCAGATTCTAATATATGGAAAAAGAATCAGAAAAGAAATTTCTGAAGAGAAGTGGGGGAGGGAATGGAGGAAAAGAACATTGCAAACAGATGAGTGGGAACCTACATGTTATCTCCAGATCCTCTCTCTCAGCAGTAATTGATTTTTGCCTGCTATGGTTACCATATAGTAACTATGATGAAACATTCATTATTTCTTTCCTCTCCTGCCTCAAGGCTTGTAACAGAAAATGGCATGTTTGAATCCTTTTATTCTGTCTGTTAAGTAGGTGCAAAAAGCTAAAGGCTCTAGTGAATCTGAAATCGGCACTAATTCAGCTGTAAAAAGACCCACCGTTCCCTTGACTGAAAACAAGCATCCCCATCCTGAGGTGCTAGTGGAAGCTGGTTGCAAAGATGACCTCACAGGAATTACCCGCCTGGACATCATGCTCTTGCTTTTCATAGAGCTAGCCCTGCTATATTTCTCTTAGTAGTCTCTGTCTGGCTTGATTTTAATTTGTCCATAGTTAAAGATGGCACATCCAGAAAATTTGCAGTGCATTTCTGACGGTAAAAAGCTTGACTGCTCAACAGATACTGTGAATCAATATTGCTGCGCTCTCATTTTTGTTTTACTGTTTGACTTGAGGTTAATGTTCGGCTTCATATTTCCTGGTAGAATGAAGTACGTGATAGTACCGTATATAATTAGTAAATGTGCTATGCTAAATATTTTGTTGTTTCTCTGTGGTTTTGTACCCTTGAAGACGCCTCATTCTCTATCTTTTCTAATGCCCTCTCCCCCTGCCCCCTTCTGAGGGACAACTGTGTCTTCTCAATGTTTTTAGTTTTAAATAACCTCGTGCTTCAGTGAAGTATGGAAATAAGCACTCAAAATGGATGCCTCTTTTGGTTTGCTGTTGCTGGACCTGGGGCAAACTGACATACAAGGGGTTACCATCAGTTAGTTGCATAAAGTCTTTGGCTAAGGATTGATTCTGTAACTTGTCTACTCAGTTATGTTCCTCTTAAGGGAAGTCATAATAGCAGAATCATCATCTCCTTTCCCTCTTTCCTCTAGATTACTGTTCACTTGCTTTTCCTTGTGTTATCTGAGCCTTATGCATTTCATTTCAGAGGCCGTGGAGGAATCTCTCCAGCATGTGAGAGGCTTTATGCTGTGTCATTTGTTGAAAGCTCTCAGAAGAGGACTAGGAACTTCTAGGTCTTGTCTTGCCCATTGACCTGGTAGATCTGCCATAAATAAAGGGGCAAGTGTTAGGCGAGAAAAGAATCAAGGACTTGCTTTCAAGGTTGAATAGCCCTTATTTCTAGGTAGGGGCTCAGGGTTCAGTAAGGAAATATATGTGGGTCCATCCATTGCCGCAAATGGCAGAAACGCCATGCCTTTTACAAAGCATCAGCAGGAGAAACTTGAGTCTTATTTTTCAGTCAGAATTTATCCCTGCAATAAATATCCGAAGCTAAGGTTTGTGGAGAAAAGAGTGTCTTTTTGCAGCACAATAGCAGAACAGATCTCCTTCTAGCAGTAAAACCAGCTTCAGTCTGTCTTAAAGGGCAGGATTTAGTTCTTTGTCTCAATAGATTGATCTTCTATTGGATATAGGTCTACTCTGTTCATCTCACAGGATTTTTTTCCTCAAATTCTTCTGTGTTGCCTCTTGGGAAGAGTCCATAACACTTTCTGTTTCTAAGGCACGGTATCAATTCCCAGCCAATATATTATGCATTAGCTATACGTCTTGGCAGCAAAAAGTCCCTTGAAACCACATATTGTAAGGGGAAGGTGGGAAGCAAAATTCAAAGACTGTTGCTGTAGAGACACAGGTCAATGTAACGTGTCACACATTGAAATGTCCCTTTGGATCTGAGGGTCCGGAGAAGGTTCATCTTGCCAACCCAAAGGAGTTTCTAAATCCATTCATTTTATGTAAACCTCTGAGGTGGATGCTTTTGGTTTTAGCACCCCTGACCATTGCCTATCCAGAGGAAATAGTATTCCTTGCTGCTGTGATATGCCAGTCCAGTGTTTTGTCTTATTTCAGGCATTCTGGCTGGTAATTGCCATCTCATGACAAGGAAGGTGGTGTAAGCTGCTTTTTCCCATTTCTCCAAACCCTGTGTCCTTTGCATTCATGTACCATGCAGAAGATGTTCTCTGCCTGCTCCTGGGATGGGTGTATCTCCGTTTGTAGGAGTGAGTGCTTAACTGGTTTCTTGAAACGATTTTTCTCTGATACTTTATATGAACCTAACCTTTGAAACTTTGAAATTAGAAAGTCATATGCTGAAGCAGACAAGCAGGCATCGTTTACAATGGAAATGTTTTTTGCTAGGGCCATTTTCTGTGCTGATTGACTGACTTTAAGCAAGTTAAACAGGCAAAGGATTATTTTTGTAATGTATCTGGTGCAAGAGTTATAATCTAGCTGTACACGTACTGAAAAGTGTAGATAGGAAGGCACAGCCTACTCTGCTATCAGTGAGGCCTCTTTTACTGGTGTCAAAGGCA